TCTATAACAGCTTTTGAGAAAGACCAAAACAATGAATCCCAGACTAAACAATGGTCCATAAGTCTAGCAGCTTTTTTAGACACAAGAAAGAAAGTCAAGGTAATCCATTATGTGGCGATCACATGGGGCTACATCAAGTCTGTTGTTCTCCTGTAACACTTACTCTTTCTTATAGGTAACAAATGTTTTAGTAGCACAACAGACCTGAAAATTGGGAACTAACAAAGTAAGAAAAAGAGTGCGTACAAGCATGTACGTGTGCTAAAGTGAGCTCAACTCCAGAGGACACTGCAGGGAATCTGCTGCTGCTGCTTTTGATCGACACAAAGCAGCTGTCCTCACACATGCACCACACACACACACACACACACACACACACACGCACCACACACACACACAAATAAACAAAGTCATTATCAAACTTCAGGCAAACACATGTAGAAAGAGGCTGAATTTCCAGTTAAAAGAAAACCCACCTCCTTTTTTTTTTTTAGGCTAAACTCCAAAACTACAGGTCACCATATATTCAAAATACACAGGCACATTTTTCTTCATATTATAGAACACTGCTGAGTTTGTCATTCAGCCAGTTAGTTGCTACTAATATAGCATTGTATCTCATGTTACACTGTGCATGTGCAAGAAATGCTAATGACTTAAGCTCAGTTTAGGGGAATTGTGAATGCCAGAAGCGGCTGCACACACTCAGTTCCCATGGACGTAACATATTATCAGTTTGGCTGATTGTCTTTAAAGTAACTGCCTACAGTTTGGTATATGATCTGTATTTTGGACCATTCTGGACAAATCTATAGTGCTTTAAGTGCTCAGCTAGAGTAAAAATGTGCTGCATAGGAATTATATACTGGATTTATGCTGTATCCTTTAAGCTATACAATTTAAGTTGAGTTGTAAAATCTTACATGATGTTGTTTCTACATTCCTGAACATTTGGAAAGCGTGGACTCAAAGTCATTTGTTGCTGCCACTTACTGTATGGTGTCAACCTACCTTCTAGCAGTACTGCGACCAAGGTTAGCTCCTGACAGCTGACATTTCCTTCATACCTTTCTCTTAGATAGATGGTTTCCTTTTCACCTTTGAGTTCAACTGCTGCAAAATGGCATCACCGATGTGACGGTGCAGTTGTTCTATGTTTCTGTGTGCATGTTTGTTTGAGCCTTGCTGACATCCATACACCTTAAACCGAGGACAGGAATCAACTGTGTGGTGCTTATAATGGTTTCAACAGCTAATTGGGCATATTAAGAAAATAAAATTACACCTGACATATAAGCCATGAGTTCAATAAAACCTACAGAGCTGAGTTTCCTATTTAGTCCCATTAGCACCCTGCTGGGTAATTTCTCTGCCTGGCAACAGCCATTTTGGGAATGGATTAGCAAGGGGCACTGCAGGGCACCACACAGACTACTGAACTTCGAGCTGGAATGCACACAGTCAAAGACACACGTATGCAAACACATGCTAAAATGCAGACACGCAAACCCATTGTGACTCATGTCCGTGCCGTAATGTATATCATGCCAGAGGCATAAAGTCATGTATGAGCATGCTGGACACTGAAGACGCTCATGCAATCCCTTTGAAATCCAGACGATCCACATCTTGAACTCTTTACTTTGATCTCTCCGACCAATCTCACATGCACACTCACAATGACACCCCCTGACCTCCATCAACAGTGTCTTTCTAGCAGTGACACCAACGTGTGCGTACACACTCCTCCGCAAATACTTCTGTTTATATATTGTTCAAAGTTTAAGTACCGAGGCTCAACACTGCTCAGCTGCCAAATGCAAAATGCCACAGAAAAGACGGTGCGACTGTATATTCCACTTGCCCTTCCACCATTTCCATATATGCACACACAAACACACTTGAATCTGGTAATGATATCATGCAATTAAACGCAAGTGTACACATGGGATTAGACAAACCACTGTAATAGTACCATGCCCCCCCCACCCCCCCAGATGCACTCTCCCACGAAGCTGACATTCAAGGAACAGAAATGCATCATTCTGTCGTAAATCTACTTTTAGAAGCATCCTGGAGGGTCTAGGTTAGTTGAGGTTAGTGGTTGTATTTTCCAATACAATTAATGGTTTGCAGGAAGGAAGAAAAATGTAGGTGTGTGTTTACAATGACAGTTTCTTTCTTCTCTAAATTATATAGTAGAGTATGAAGAAAAAGCACTGTGGCTAAAATCCTTTTTTTTTTTTTTCGAACTGCCAAAAACTGACTTCTCCAAGCATAGAAATGAACTCTGTAATTCTCTGAATATCCACAACATCATTCTTGAAATACTACAAATTACTAGAAGTTTTACATGCAGCACAGCCTAATCTTTCAAAACTCAATCACATGATTTTGGACTGTGTGTTTGCTTTAATGCGGCGAAAGCGAAGCCGACGAAGCTGGAACACGTGAAAACCTGCCCACCCAACACGACGAGAACATTTAAATCAACTGGGCCTCGTCTATTTGAAAGCAAGGTGAGGGGCGAGTTATGGACAGCAGCTCTTCTATCTCAGCACAGGGACACTCTAACCCCACCCTCCCCGGGAAAAGTATAAACCAAATCAAAGGACATAAACCAAGCAAACCCAAACATGCCAAGAAGATGTCCCGCCACTCGGGCTGAACATGTGATAAGGTGCAAACGTGTTTCTTACTCTCCAATCACCGGTGCAGATTTATGTGTATGCACATATCACGCCATCCTCTTTATCCCGGCAACCTCTAATCCTGGTTTGTATCACTAAGAAACTCTCCGAACTGTCCTGCTCTGTTCTAACCTTTCCTGCCATTACTGTCTCCAGAAGGT